TGCTCTGCTAGAAAGGCCAGCTGCACTCCGGTCCAGCCGGCCTGCCCTGCCCACTGTCGAGAGGTTGCCGCCAGCGACAGCAACGGCCAGCGAGCCTCAGCAAACACATTTAAATCTGAAGTGACAGACAGCACGATTTACGGCGACAGTTTAGCACCAGATCACTTCCCACAAGGCAGTCCAGTCCCTCAGCACCCCCTGCTCGGTAGTCCATCAAGGGGGTCTCTAAATCATGGGCTCCAGGCCTGCCCGACAGCCTCCGGGGATGGCCAGGAGCAGGGGAGGCCGGCTGCTAGGGTGGCCGCCTGCCCCTCCCCAGCCTGGGCTTGCTCCCCCGCCAGGCAGGGAATGAATGAAAAGCAGAGGCTTCCGGGGGTCAGGGGCTGGGGGTGGGGGTGGGCTCTCAGCGTAAGCTAAGTGCTGGCAGATTTCCCAAACAGTAAAGCCCCGGGCCTTAAGGAAACAGAGCGCCACTTCATGCCCTATTTTAAATAAATAAGCTGCTTAAAAAACTCCCTCCGAGGCCGGCTGGTCTGGTGGACTGGAAGCATGGCTTCCCACCGGTTCTTGACGCCCTGGCCCCTCAAAGGGCCTCGCTGACCCGCCTGCCTCCCGCCACCGCCTAGCAGAATTAATTGGTCCCTGCGGCGTCCATGGCACTTTGTTGGGGCCTGGCTTGCAGTGCCATGGTGTCACATTATAGTCTACTTAGCTGCCCTCCTCCAGCTCCCCGAGAACCGTCCATCTCTGCGCCCCGCGCTGGGTGGACCTGCCACCCTCATCCTCCGCCCATGGGAGGCGGGGCACTTGGGGTGCCATACACTGTGGGCCGGAAACGGAGGCCACGGCCACCCTGGCTCAGCAGGAGTGCTGGGCATCCTCTGGGCCCTGCCCCACCCCCCTCGGGGCTGAGGACCGTTGTCAAATAGAAGGTCCCTCCTGTCTGGGCACAAGCATGACATTCATCCCATTTGTCCCCTCATGCCCTTCAGCCAGGAGGGGGGCCCCTGGGCTGCCCAAGAATGGGGATCTTTTTCGGTGCCTGGGGCACTTCCTGCCTGAGATGACCCTTTCTGTCTGGGACAAGGGGGCCCCACAGGCCCAGGCCGCTAAGCTGGGCCCAAGGGCACCAGCGGAAGTTACTAGGTCAAGGTCAGGCTCCCCAGGAGGCAAAGGGAAGACAAAACCAGTCCAGAGCAGCAGCAGGAGCAGCAGCAACAGCCCCTGCGGGGGGTCCTGGACACCTCTCCCCACGCCCACCCCCGTCCTGCTGCTGCAGGATAGAGGGGCCTTGCTGAGGGTCACGTTCATCTCACCACGGAGGAGGCCCAATTTCACTAAGATGCATGTGCTGTGTGCCCTCTTAGGCAGGAGCTGTGGCCAGCACAGATGGCGGGGGAGCCTTGGACTCTCGCGGGGTGCCTCAGGTGATCGGCAGGCAGCCAGTGGAGGGGGCAGAGGAGGGCTGGCAGGGTGAGGATGGAGGACAAGGGGGACTGTACTGGGTCTGGGGGGGCCTACTGCTGCCATCTCAAGTCCTCCACCCAAGGGACACCGCTTCTGTTCTGTGCCTCATGCCACATACCCCACCCCACACAATCACGTATACCCCCATGCATCGCACACAGATCACATAAACACCCGTGCCACCCCACACATCAGATACATGCACACCACACACACACCCCTATCACACCCACACATCGCATATCCAACATCAAGCTTAGACTACACTTGTCAGACACACATACCACCACACAGAAGGCCCGACAAATCACACACCACACCACACCACACACGTACACACCAAACCCTACATCACACGCATATCACCCACACACGCACCCGTGTCACCCCCACACACAGCCCTACAAGCACGCTAACACATCTGCACCTCACACCCCCACACACCTACCTCACACATGCACTCAGGCACACGCCCCATCACGTCCCCAATGCCACCTGTGAGGTGGAAGCCAGGCCTGGCTCTTAGGTAGATGCCAGGGGAACAGGTGGGAGGCAGGCCCAGTTTCCAGTGTGTGGGGATCGGTGAGGAGGGGTGACAGGTGAGCACCTGGCCCGGCCTCACAAGGAAGGGTCCCCTGGGCCTGAACCCTCCCTAGCCCTGGCCGGAGAACCTCCTGGCCCTGACTCTTCAGGTTGGATCATAGGCCCTCCCAGTGCCCCCTGCACACCGCCCCCACACCTCCACTCCCACCCTGCCCCTCCTGCAGCTGCAGCCGGCAAGCCAAGGAGAGGGGAGGGGCGGGGAGGGGCGGTGACAGCTACAGCCTCCCAGCACCCTCTGCATCTGGCAGGGGAACCAAAAAAGACCCACCCACAGGAAGACCACCCTCAAGCCCCCAGCCCCATCTGCAGGGGACCCTCGCAGGCCACCAACTCCGCGGGATCACCGCTGCCCTGGCTGCAGAAGTGAATCTGTAAAAAAGCCCCAGCGCTCGCTCCCTCCTTTCTCTCTTTGCAGGGGCTCCGTGGCCGGCGCTGGAAGCAATTATTCACGGCTAATGATTATAATCAAGTCAAATAGAATTTAATGGACACGTATTCTCTTCCTGCTTGAAACTTTACATATGAATTAAGCACATATGGGTTTCGCGAGGCACAGACGCAGATTTATGCCACCCCCGAAAAGCCCCGCGGTCCCCACCGCTCTCACGCCACGAATTAAGCCGCGGAGGCGGCGCCCGGCCGGCCGGCGCGGGGAG